ATAGAACATATTTAGATGTTCTATAAATTTAATTTATATGTTAATTTAGATGTTACATGTTATTTTTTAAATGAAATACTAATTTTCAGATACATTTTAAACAAATGTTAACTAAGTTAAATATTAAAACCAGGGGTCAGCTATAGTCTTATTGGTGAACAGAGTAAAAAATCAGATGCCCCTGCCATACTTTACAGAATGAGGAGTTGGACAACACAGATACGTTTGGCTGCACTGTAGTGAAACATATGAGGCATCTTCTTTTTGTCTTCAATCAGCCACGTTTGGGCTGAGTAGTTCTATTACATCTTCAAAAATTGAACTCCAGTTCTTGATGGAGACACCATAAAATACCTTCTCTTATCTTTTGAAAAGTAGATAACTATACCTTTCTTTTTATTTAACCTAAAGTTAATAATGAGTAATTATGAAGAAAAAATCAGCACTAATGACTATACCTACTAATAAGGATGAGAAAGTCACTCTAAAATTATCTAACTAACTGCAGAAGTATTATTCCCTACCAGCTAAAGTATTACTCCTTTCTTCAATACCTAGGGTCCAAGCCCTCAGATTTAAGGTACAAACATTTGCTTTTGTAAAACAAAATTATGTTTTAGGAAAGTCTGCAACAAAATGCCTCTACAATTTAAGTAAGAACTTGAGAGAAGGAAAAGCTTGATTAGCTATTCACTACAAAACTCTTCATCTAAGTGCTTGTTTTCTTCACAAAGTACAAAATAATGCTGACTCTCCTAGGAAAGACCATATAGAAGAGATAGAAGCCATGACCCTTTACTTCTCTTGTATGCTATAAAATGTTTGAGATGCTTAGGAAAATTATCCTAAACTGTAAGATTCCTGAAAAGAAAATAAACAAACTGTAATAAAGTGAAGAGGCTAAGCTTTGCTAACCATGGTTCCCCACCCATCTCTCCCCCAACTTCTCCCACAAAAGCAATCTCTATTAAGAAAACAAAGCATCCTTTATCAAGCAGCTCCCTATAGGATCCTATCACTCCTTGAGTGCTTACCACAATCTGATTTCTGGCCAGCTGACACAAAGTTTGTTGATTTTACTGATCTTCAGAAAGCCACTGACTGGCTATAGTCTTATGGTGAACAGAGTCAAAAATCAGATGCCCCTGCCATACTTTACAGAATGAGGAGTTGGACAACACAGATACGTTTGGCTGCACTGTAGTGAAACATATGAGGCATCTTCTTTTTGTCTTCAATCAGCCACGTTTGGGCTGAGTAGTTCTATTACATCTTCAAAAACTGAGCTCCAGTTCTTGATGGAGACAGAGGAAGGTCACTGAGGTAGTTCAGCTCAAGAGCTAAGTGAAAAATCTGTCTTTTGATTCAGTCCTGCTTGTGGATAGAAGTCATCTTCTGGATGGAAGAGGGAGTGAGATGACCTAGAGTCTTGAATTGGTGGATCTGCAGGAACAGAAACTAAATACAGTGGAGACCTCTTAACTGAGTAACACCACGAGATGGATTTCCTGACATTGTGTCAATATAAGCTAAATATAAAGATTAAACATGTGCTTTAGAATTGATCATGCACTTGTTTTTCCAGTTATCAAATGCATTTTACCATTCAATGAATAAATACGTTTTCCCACAAACTAATTATAAAAAAATATAGGGGGGAAAAACTAAGGAGAAAAAAAAAAGGACCCACTCAAACAGAAACCTATATACTTTTCCTTTGTGAGTGCCACACCCTCATTTAAAAAAAAAAAAAAAAAAACTCAGTTCTTTCTTCTTTAGAATGACTTTTTCTCCATATACATAAATCTGTCTGTTCCATTTAAAGTACTAGTAATTTATATCAAATTTGAGATGGGTCTTTAAGTCTCTTATTCCCTAGATATATGGAACTCAAATATACTCAAAATACTAAATTTAGGCTTGAATCATCTATCTTTTTGTAAATTCTAGGATTTGCAATAACCAAGTTTGTTTCTACTTATCAATCAAAAGAAGAGTACATATCATGAAGTCAGGCAATCTTTAAATATGAGTAATGGCCACCTCAAATTTTCCTCAATCTTTGATCTGAAAAATCTAAGAACCACAACCAGATTTCTGGGGCATCTAATTTTTTCTTTATGTTAATAAGAATTTTGAGGAACATTTGCTTATACTTCCACTTAGAATTTGAATATGTAAATTTACTATATATACTCTCTTAATAGTTAGACCAGGGGTCAGCAAACTACATTTTCTGGCCCAATTCCAACCCATCATTTGTTTTTATAAGTTTATTGGGACTCAGCCATGCCTATTCATTCACGTATTGTTTATGGTTGCTTCCACATGGCAGAGTTAAGTAGTTGCAACAGAGACCATATGGCCCACAAAACCTAAAATGTTTATATCTAGCCCTTGACAGAAAAAGTTTGCCAACCCCTGATAAAAGACCATTTTTAAAACATATGAGACAATTTAATATATTTTGAAAGAGAAATGACATGTAGAGCTAAAATTATATTTTGGTAAACTGTAACAGATTTACCATATAAAGGAACAAAAAGCAAAATGAGTTCCAAGAGAACACTTATCAATAAATCCCTGATCCTATCTTAGCATTACCATTTTATTTTAGTTTCTGACATATTCAAGAGTATATACAGTATTCTACAGATTTCTACTTTTAAGTGGGCCACATTATATTGAAGTGGTTAAATATTTAAGTTACATCTTACCTAATGTTGTTTCTCCAAAATCTCTTAGAGCATCTCAGACCCTTGTGTATATTTCTTCTTTGCCAGTAGATGGAGACAACACCACTGAAAGTTTAAAAGACATCATTCCCTGTTTAAAGGGAGCTTGCTGGTCTGAAAAATTGGGGGAACCCTAACCCAAAGATTTCTTCAAAGCTACTTTTAAAAAAGCAGATAGAATGGGCTATGCCAAAACCAGAAATCCAAAGGAATATACCCAATATTGACTATGGACATCCTCAAAAATTTACTAAGGGGAAACTGAACTCTCCCCATGATGTAGCAGTAACTAAATCATAATATTAAAATGTAATCATCTCTATAGCTTGTAAGCTTCAAACTTCCTGCTTATTGCTCCTCATTTATGCTCAATCATTTATTTTTCAGTTTCAGAAAACATAACTTCGAATATATAAGAAAAAAAGTCCTTTAACTTCCAGAGAGATGCAGTACAAATATGGTTTTCTAAGCATTAATCATATGTACTGCTAAGAAGCCTTTTGTGCAAAATAAGACAACTATCTAGATCCACATAAAATAACAAGAACTTTATAAGAGAGTTAAAGTAGAAATGGCAGAAGGAATAAGAAAAAATTCAATTTTATGGTCATACTGAAAAGAAATGCTCACAAAGGGGAAGAATCAGACTCATCTACTTTCTAAGTTTTTTATTTCCCTACTGAAATGACTTAAACAGAACAAAAGCCATTTACAAGAAATAAATTTCAAATCTTGAAGCTTAAGAAGTGATTTCAAAATCATTATTCACCTACATTTTTCAAATCAATAGCTTTCCTTTCCAAAATCAAAGCCCTAAAGCCATTGTTTTTGGGTATAATTTTAAAGGAAAAATGAGGTTATCAAATTGAAAAGAGAGAACTAAGATACTGTTTATTATTATTTGCTACAAGACTCCTTTCCTTGAAACACACTAAACAAGAACAACCTATTTGACAGCTTTGTAATTTTCCAAGAGAGAATGTTTCATGAAGAAAAAGATTTACCTTAAACCAAATATATCCAGTTAGGGAGGAATTAAAAAGTCTCAACCTTAATTTTATGTATATTTTGTTCATCCTTTAGTTACATATCAGAACTAAAATCAGTTTACACAAAAGGGAAGTGAATACAGTATTCCAGTATTACCATACCAATAGTACCTCTCAGGGTTAAATTAGAACTGACAATAGCTGCTAAAATAAATCCTCTCATGACTCATTACAAGATAAAACAGTTGTAGAGTAAGCCCTGAACCACAAACTTCTATTTAACACTGAAATTTTATGATTCCTAAGAGATAATAGCTATCATCTGCCAAGAAAACTATAACCACATTCCAACTGCCTATTAAGAATACATAAACAACTATACACACCTTCTCATAATCCATATGTAAATATTCTGTGGCTTTATTTAGTTAATCCTTGGGTTAGCTTCCTCTAGACAGACAACAAACTTTTTGACCTTTCCACAAACCTTCAAAACCTACTTTGTGTGAAGATAATGCTAATTAAATAACATAACCACCCCCACAGAAAGGCACTTTGGAGTTTTCAAAGTATATTGACTAACATTAATTCAAATCTTACGGTAGAAAAATCCCATTCAAAAAATAAAAACCATGGCCAAAACACATAATCCACAGCCAAATGCTAACAATATCTGCATTGTGTATTGCTATCTGCCCATCAGTATATATATGAGGGAGGAATGACTCAAATCCTTAAGTAAAGCAATAACCAGAAGAGTATTTTGGAATTCTGGATTAATACAGTAGCTCTATCAAACTGCAATCTACAGACCATAGTACTACAACAAAAATATAATGACCAACAAGGATTGAGTTTTCTTTATAATAATTGGATTTTGGGGAAAAGAAAAAAACAAAAACAAAAACAAAACCCAAAAACAAAACACCAGGTATTATTAGCCTGGCAAGTTTCTCTTGGGGATCTATGATGTCAGTGCTCCTGCCTCCACCTGCTGGCAAACAGAGTATGAAACTAGCAGAGATCACTGGATAAAAAGTTAGTATTTTTTTTAAACAAATAAATGTTGTTTTATGTAATTATTTAGCGTGGTGCTACTTTTTGTTGATAAGTCATTAAAATATCAATGAAATCCATTAGGTGGTATACAGAAAAACATGTTTAACTATGCAAGAAAAGGAAAAAATAAAAAAATAAAAAAACTACAAAAGATTTCTTGGTTCAGAACATTACCTAAAAATCCAGAAATCAAATTTTAAAAAAATTTTTAAATTACCTGATAAATGACATCTTGGAAAAGGACTGGAAAAGTAAGTGCTGCATCTTCTAGCTCATTTAGACTACAGTGCACTAGTGTTTCATCCTTAAAATAAAAAGCACATATTGAATGAACCAAGATACTAAAAGAAAATTCAAGTGATAATACTATGTATTTGTGATCACAAAAAAGTTTATTAAAAGCAGCCATTAATATGTAGAATTTAAAATCCATAATTTTTTTTTAAACTCTTTATTCTGATTTGGGTCAAAGTTTACAGAATAAATTGGTTTTCCATTCAACAACGAACACACATTTTGTTTTCTGAAGTTGATTATAGTCCCCACATTGTAACAGAACTCTTCCCACTTCCTCCATGTGTTTACCATTTCCCTTCATCCTTCTTTCCTATCCTTTCCTGCTTTCTAAACTTTATCCCTGGGAAAATGCTGCTCTTTTGATTACAAATAGTTGATTGTTCTACCTCCCTGGTTGTTATTGTTCACACCTTACACGCCTATCTATACTGTTTGGTTGAAGGAGCTCTGGCGGTACTGTGGTTAAAGCATTGGGCTAACCAAATGGTCACCAGCCCTAACCCACCAGCTGTTCCCCGGAGAAAAGATGAGGCCGTCTGCTTCCATACAGATTTATAGCCTTGGAAACCCTATGAGGCAGTTCTGCTCTGTCTTGTTTGGCTTGGGGGTGAGTTCAGTTCCAGGCCTGAAGGGTGTCTAAGGGCCATAGTCTCGGGTTCCACAAGTGTCTATCAGACTAGTAAACCTGTCTTTTTTTTTTTTTTTTTTTTTAAATCTTGAGTTTTGTTCCACATTTTTCTCCCACTCTATCCAGGACCTCCTTTTGTGATCCCTTTGGGAAATAATTTTCCTAGTTTGGTTCTCAAACTGTAATCTCTGGATGAGCTGCATCAGCATCATCTGGGAACTAGTTAGAAATGTAAATTCTTCAGCTCCATTACTAATGATTCAGAAATTTGGTGGGGGTGGAGCTCAGCAATCAATGTTTTAGTAAGTTTTTCAGGTAATTCTAATGTGTGCTCAAATTTGAGACCCACTGCTGAGTTCTGCAGTTGCCAATTTTCTGGTAAGAAAATCATATGCATACTACTGTTTTTTTTTTTTTTAACAATGCACAAATGCAAGTTTAGAATCTAATTGCTAAATACATATATACATACATACATATAATTTTAATTTATGTAACTCCTTATCATCAAATCTTTTACAAAGAATCTTATATTAGGAAATAAGTGCTTTAGTATCTCATGAATACATTTCATAGACATATACACACTACTCAACTAAATTACCAGTCAATAAAGACTTCTCTGATTATAATTATTTTCTTATGAAGAGGATAAGAAGATACGGATCAATCAATCTAAGATATATACAAATATTTATATTTCTCAAATCCTATAAGGTTAAAAACAGGGCTTTCTTTTATATTAAGTAGTAATAGCATTTATTTTTAAAACAAGGTGGCTAATAACTATCCACAAGTTTTTTCAATGTGTTTAAGCTCAATTAAAATCAAACACTTATGTTCATACCTTTTGATTCCACATCTTATTAGTTGGAGTGTTTCTTTTAAGCTAAACTCTGGGGAGGCAAAGAGCAAAAACTCTGGCAGTAGAACTAGACTCAGAGCTACACACAGAACAATGCCCTTCAAATCCATCGAACAGTCTGGAGAGGACAGTGCTACTGCCACCACCAAGTGGTAACAACTGCCTCTTGCACCAAAGGTCCTGCCTGTCCCATCACTGCTGTCCAAGAACTTGGTCTTACTGCAAATGCCACTGCTGTCCCTGCTAACTCTCAATTCAAAATCTGGGTAGTACACCTAAGATCAACACCTACACTGTGTCTGTGTCCTAGCTGCAAAAGAGACTGATGTTTTCACCTTTTACAGAGAAGGAAGGTTTTGCCTCCCACAAAGACTCATCAACTCCAGAATAAAATATGCTCCCAAAAGGTAGAAGAAAGCAATTAATTAATAAGGACAAAAATAAAAATGAATGAAATGGAAAACAAACAAACAAACAAAAATCAATAAGCAAAAAAACCTCTAGATACGTCTCATTTCTGTTAATAGCATACCAGACTACACAGTTCAAGGCACTCTCTTAGTATCATAAGAAAAGGTCTTCTTTCTTGTACAATGGAATTACGGTCACTCTTATCACTTCTTCTCCTATAACATAGCGAATCATTCTTACTTACTTCTGTAAAGTTATTCATTTCCACTCAGCCAATTTTTATTTTTCCTTCTCTATTTACCTTCACATTAGACTCAATTTGCTATCATAACATCAACTTCTAACATCATCAAAATCTAGCAGAATCCTTTTCAGTTTCTTACACACTAATTTGTACTTCAAATCCGAACTCTCACGATCAGCTTCAATTTTTTTCTTTCTATTTTTATTTATCCTCTAATAATATATCTTAAAGATACTTAAGGAAGACCGAAGAAGAGTTGATGCTTTTGAGTTGTGGTGCTGGCAAAGAATGCTACCAGATCTGTACTGGAGGAAGTGCAGCCAGAATGCTCCTTGGAAGCAAGAATGGCCAGACTTCGTCTCACCTATTTTGGTCATGTTGTAAGAAGGGACCATTCCCTGGAGAAGGATGTCATGCTTGGTAGGGTGGAGGGTTGACGAAAGAGGGGGAGGCCTTCAAGGAGATGGATTGATATGGTGGCTGCGGTGATGGGCTCAAGTATAGCAGGGATTGTGGGGCTGGCGCGGGATCGGGCAGTGTTTCGTTCTGCTGTGCATGGGGTCACTATGAGTCGGAAACGACTCGATGGCACTTAACAACAACAACAAAGATACTTAGGAATTCTAGATACCTCTCATACCTTTTTGGCTACGGGAAAGACTAAGATGCTGAACTATAACACAACTACACACTAATTAAAAATTTAAAAGAATATGCTTTACTTCAAGATAAATATTCTGAGAACCAAATCATATTCACAATTACATGGTAAGAGCATCAAATGCTAAGTAACGAAATGTATTCCAATATCGTATGATGGATACATTTAGTTTTGCTAATATAGGCAATGGTAAATGTGGTGATCATATATTAAATTTGATTAACAAAAGATGAGATTTTCAGTTTTCAAAGCTCTTCTGGACATCTAAAATATAAACGTTTATGCCACACCAAGAGAACATAAAGGTTTTATTAGTCAGCATTAAGAGATCATGCTTTTGAGATTTATTAATAAAAGTTTACTGATATTAAATAATATGCAAAAGTAAGAATAAGAGGAGTATGGTCTTATATAAAATTAACACATTGAGATCGAGATTATATGTAATAGTCCTTCAGGAAAATGTGATCTGACAAAAAAGGAAAAATCTGAAACCTAGGCATGATTCCAATCAAAATTAAATCAGGATTTCTTAGGAGATTAAAAAACAAACCACAAAGGTCTCAGGGCTAGGGGGTGAAGAACTAATCTAAACACAAAAATAAAAGCCTAATTTATTTTCAAAAGGTAACTGATACCAACCAAACTAAGGACCCTTCCACTAAAGTATGCTTAAATAAAAGCACTGTATGAATATTCATACAGTGTTTTATTTAAGGCATTTTGGACTATTACTTAAAATAAGAATTTAATCCCTTTTTTCTCCTCTACAAGGAGCCCTGGTGGTACAGTGGTTAGGAGCTCAGATGCAAACCAAAAAGTTGGCAGTTTGAATCTTCCAGCTGCTCTGTGGAACAAAGTCGCAGTCTGCTTTCGAAAAGGTTACAGTCTTGGAAATCCTATAGGGTAGTTCTACTCTGCCCTGTAGGGTCACTATCAGTTGGAATGGACTCAATAGCAGTGGGTTTCGTTAGGGTGAAGATTCTTCTCTACAGAACACACTTACCAGGTCTAAAACTAGGGAGAATTCTGGTGTGCTTCTTGTTTTCAATGGAAGAGCAGGTTTCCTATTTAGTTGTTCTTCTGTTAATGGTGGAACATGCTTGATGAAATAATACCTATAAATCAAATTGTTGAAAAATTTCAACATGTCTACTTTTTATAAATATAAAATATATTACTAAATTCAGCCCATCTTTAATTAAGAATGCACATTTAATTCAGTAAATCAAACATCTAAATATGTAAATAAAAGTAGAAATATACTCCATGAAAGTATTAACACCCACAGGTCACATGCTATTTGTAATACACCATTCAGCTTCTCTTCCACATATGTACTCTAAGTCTGCTCCAAGGAAAACAAACAAACAATCAAACAACAAACAAACTCACGGGTCAAATACTTCCCAGTCTTCTTCATAGGTGGCCTCTGCATGGGCTGATGAATAACCACTATCTGGAGTTACTGGTGCTAATATTTAATAAAGTAAAAAACCAAACTGTTAGTATTTCTCAATGTTTCCATGAAGCATACATATATTCTTACTGCTTCTATATAAGATATTCTTGAACCCCTGTGTAACTTAAAGATAAACAGATATGTTTTGTGAACAGTGTTTAAAAGCAAATTTACTAACATCTACCTCTAATTCAAGATCCAAAGAAAATAATTACCACTAAAGACAAAATGATGAGCTAGATCATGGCTTATAGAATTAAAATTCCTATCAGGTAAAAGAAAATTTACTGCTTATATTTATGGTTAGAAAAATATACTCCACAAAAATTCAATAGAAATCAGATTGTGTTTATATGAAATAACCATAAAAATTCCACATGCTCTCACAAAGTACCTTGAACATATAGTTAGTCAGTCAATGCATGCTGGCAATAGACCCATAACCAAAACAAACCAAACTCACTGCCATCGAGTCGGATCCGACTCATAGTAACCCCTCTCCTTGGGTTTCTGAGGTAGTATCTCTACGGAAATAAATTGTCCAACCTTTCTTCCGATGAGTGGCTGGTGGGTTTGCACCACCAGCCTTGTGGTTAGCAGTCAAATGCCTTAGGCACTACACTACCAGAGCCCCCACAATAGATCCATAGTGGTTTTTAACCTGGGATTCGTGAACAGTTTCTAAGATGTCCATGAATCCCAAGGAGATAGATGAAAAAAAGTTGTATGCACATTTTTTCCAGGAACCTCAAGGCTTTCTATGACCTTACAAAGTTAGGAAATGCTCCTCTACATAGTTATCACTGCTTTATAAGATCTATTATTTTACCTCCGATTTATAAGCATCTAAAAAGTAATCAAGAAGCAGTTCTATATTCTATGCCACATAGCCCACTCTATGTTTCAGCTAAAATATAGTATCAAGTGATGGAGTTTTAGGAATTACAATTGGAAATTCGAAGACAATAATTACAAACTGGAAAAGAGGACAAAGATAACCTGCAAATTAAATAAGTAATGGCAAAGTTTAAGAGGGAATCCAATACAAATTGCTATAATTTTTCTACAGAAATGGAATGCTGGTAGATAACAGTCTTTCTGGATAAAAACTAACCTTTTTTTGCTATTATAATGTATGAATACATTTTGAGACAGTCAATATGGTGTGTATGTTCAATGAATGACAGAAGATGTAAAGCAGAATGACTGAACTTTATGCCAATAATGGGTCACTAGCACAAGAGGATAATGAAAAACATATTTTCAAATCACTTTACTGTTTTGAATTCTTATTAACCTCAGAAAAACGAAAGGTGGAAATAAAGTACATTTATCTAGTGCCAATAAGCTAAGTATTTTTTGTATTTAATTTCATTTAGCATTATTATTATTTGTATAACTAATATATAATTGCAGGTATCTTTAATTACACATGTAATTGGGAGTCCCTGAGTGGCACAATCAGTTAAGATGCTTGGCTGCTAACCAAAAGGCTGGTTCAAATCCATCCAAAGGCTCCTTGGAAGAAAGGTCTCGAGATCTACTTCTGAAAAATCAGCAACTGAAAAATCCTATGTATGGAGCAGTTCTATAGTTCTACTGACACACATAGGGTTTTCCTGAATTGGAACTGACTTGATGGTAACTGTTTTTTTTATTATTATTATCATTATTAATTATCATCATTAATTGTTGCTATTATCATTTAAAAGCTAAGAAAATTGAGTGTTAAGAGAACTTAAGTAAGCTGTCCAAAGTCACATAGCTAAGCAAATAGTATAGCTGTTTTAATCCCTGGGCTATCTGAAGCCAGAGTTCATACTTTCTTGTACCATTCCAATTAGTAAGGAAGGGACTCAGCAGCACAATGGTTAATTAAGCACTTGGCTGCTAACTGAAAGGTTGGTGGCTTTAAACTTCCCTGCTGCTTCCCTGGAAAGAAGTCCTGGCAATTTGCTCCCATAAAGATTTCAGCAGTTCTACTTTGTCCTATATCATTGCTTTGTGTCACAAATGACTCAACAACATACAACAAAAGTAACAACAATCAGTATAGAGAACTAATTTAGCACATGTTCTCCAGTTTCCCATCTCACGTGCTCACCAGCCTCTTTCTTGTTCTCTTTGGCTACATCCTCAAAGTTAAGGAAAAGTACCGTTTCTGTCATTCATATATATGCATCTTTTAAGAGCAGTATAAATGTTATCTCTATCAGATGATCCTCCCAATCAGAGTAACTGCTACATTTGTAATACCTCTCACCACATTGTTAAGTAATTTTTCTGTATATTTGGCTCTTTATATTGTGAACTCCTCAAGGTCAAGGAGCGTCTTCCTCATGTTTATCAACAGGGCATAACACAAATAATAAGTGCTTATTAGATGTTAGAAGAATAAATGAATTAATGAAACAACTTGAGTAAATCTTACTTTTCCTCTTTAATAAAAACCACTAGAAGTTACAGAAGTCCCTTCTTCATCCTTACAGCTGTCAAAGGGGGAGAGAGGCTTATGCAGCAGCACAAAAATATAGGCCAAACATCAAACAGGAAGCCTAGAGCCCTGGACTTTAGTCAGTATTTTACCATTCACTAGCCTTGTAACATTGGGTGAAGTAATCAGCACAAAATGGTAGATCAATGGTAGGTTAATTCGTGAATCTTTCTCACGCAAAAATGAACTGTCTGGCTCATAATCCTTGATGTTTTACCTACTAGATTCAATATTATTTTAACACTATAGATATTAATCTCTATTTGACTAATTTATAACAAATATTGCTACTTTACTTTTCATATTGATACTACTGTGTTGAACTGTATGGAAGTTTCATAATTATAGCCATTTTTTCTTCAAATATCTTTTGCCGTTTCAATTATTTTTAAGTTTCCCCTCTTTACATCTAACAGAAATATATTATTCTGCTTCATTATACCAAGCTACATTTCCTAATCAATACATACTTACTGGGCTCTCTCAAATATCTGTTATAATAAGAAATAAAAAACAGTAAGATAAAACAAAATACTGAAATGGCCATCTTCAGTTTTATTTCTGCTTTTAAGTAGGTTCTAAAGTCCACCAAACACAATTAGCCTTTTATGTCCATCTACCACAATCCTTAAAGGTAAGAAATTCCTGATTTCCTGTCTTTCCACATTTCCTCAACGATAGGGACCTAGCAATTATGTTACGCTTTTGTAAGGATTCAGACTTAGGCTGCAAGTTTGGGAATATGGAGAGATCCAGGATCAGGAGCCCCTTTAAACATATGAAACATACAAATATGAAGGTGTAAGAATGTCTTTAGGTAGGGACCAAGACTGGTACCATTAAAATACATTCAAATGTTTATATTTATTAAAAAATAACATTTCAAAATGACTCTGGATTTTTGGTTGTTGTTGTTATTGTTAAGTGCTGTCGAGTCGTTTCCGAAAACCTTATGAATAGCAAAGAAACACTGTTTGGATTTTTGGGAGAAAATTTTATTTCTAATTTTATCTTTTGTTTTAAATTCAAGGAAGAAAAATTTATTTAAAGTATTGTTCAAGAAAAAAATATTAAAATACTGTATTTTATAAACTATTCATAAAGATGTACAAGAAAAGGAATTTTCTTCACCTGTAAGGGGTGGGATATCACGATTAACTGTTTCTTCTGCTTCTTCTAAACCATTATTTATTGATGGCCTCACTTGAACTGCTTGATTTGAGTAAGCTGCTCCATTAGTTGATGTAGTAGTACTGGTAGTGATCTCATCCACCTGTTCCATATCAAGTTGTTTTACTATCTCTTCAGCTTCCACAGCCTGTCCTGGGGAATCTGATCCTGATGTTCCTGAAATCATGATTCAGTATACTCACTATCATCATTTTAGAATTAATGCAACAGAAGAACTAAATATAATTATCATTTTACAATTTATTTAATCGGACTAATTCAACAGTTGGGGATAGCTCAGATCACTGTTAAATGAGCCTTTTCTACACATTTCAAACGAGCAGGAATCAAGACCATTAGAGGCAAGAGTAATATCTATGAACAAAGTTTTTCTTAAAACCTTCCATATACTTGAGAAACATGCATTTACAGACAAATAACAACCATAATTTAGAACTTTTTTAAAATTAAGTATCTCTATTTTGTTATGTGTTGTTGAGTACATTTCGACTCATAGTAACCCATATGCTTGAGCAGAATTGCCCCATGTGGTGTTCTAGGCTACAATCCATGGGAGCAGATCACCAAGTCTTTCTCTGCAGTAGCTCTTTTTTTTCCTCCTTTATTTCACATACATAGTAAGTCCTCATGTTACGAACACCTGACTTACGAACAATTTGTATTAGCTCTTTAATGTCATTGTAATTTGCCCTCACTTGGAAATGACTGAACCAATCCCTACGCGTAATAAATGTATCAAAATCATTACTTGCAGTCTTTCAATCATTGAAAAGCTTTCCAAATTTTCTTGCACTAAGATACCCCAAACCCTTTGCCAGCAAGTTGATTCTGATTCATAGCAACCCTAAAGGATGGATTAGAACTGCCTCCTAGAATTCCAAGGCTGTAAATCTTTTTTTTAAATGTATTTTACTGAAATATAATTTATGTATACAATGAAATACACAAAACTGAAGTGACATGGGTCAACGCGTTCTTTTTTTCCCCCCAAGTGTTCTCTCCCCTCCCCTCCCATCCCTGGCAACCAACAAAGAAAGTTTCCTTCCATATATAAACCTTTCCTTGACCTTCCACAACAAACTAATACTATATTCTGTCCTTCTGTGATTGACTTATTTCACTCAGCATAATGTCCTCCAAGTTCATCCATGTTATGAGGTGTTTTGCTGACTCTACATTATTCTTTAGTGTTGCATAGTATTCTATTTTGGTTACCCATTCTACTGCTGATGGGCACGTTGGTTGTTTCCATCTTTTTGCTATTGTAATTTGTTGTTGTCATTTTGTTACATGCTTTTTCATGGTGTCTGTGGTTGCTCTTTAGCCAAACATTTAAATTGTGCCACCAGGGCTCATTAAATATCTCTATATTAACTGATAATAGACAATATTTATTAGGTGCCTACTATGTGTTACCCAAGTAGCCCTGGTGGCCCAATAATAAATATGGAAGTTTATTTCGTTATACTCAGCCATCATCCTGTTGCCCTTGCTGCCTAATTTTTATTCCACTATGGAATGATACCAACTCTTTCTATTGCTTTCTGAAATCCTCCAAATTTTAAATGACAAAATAAGAATAATCAACTTCCAATTTTCTCAACTTCCTTACAGAATACTCCTTTTCCCACATTGCTTTAAATTTAACCTCTTTCCTAAAAACATCTCTTCTTGATACTCTTCACTCAAGGCTCTCTATTCTCCCATACTCTATGTATTAACTCAGTCAGAATTCATTTATCCTCACCGCTGCTCCCAGGCCATTAGTTTTCCACTATTTTGCAAAAATGCCTGTTCCTTTGAGACTGATGTCACCTGGCTATACTTAACCATACTGCTGTCATCTGTTGCCAGCACCTCTCTCAGTCACAGAGGACTGTAACACCTAGCTACCAGTTTACCACTCTATTCAATGCCTGTCTAGTTGTTTTTACAGGTGATGGCAATGATTCATCCAATGACTAATCCTCAAAGTTCTTGCTCTGTTTAGCTCTCAGCATCTTCACTTATACTCTCTTCAGCAGTTATTACCATGGCCATACCCTGGACATGAACATTAAGAAACTGATTACCTCTCAAACCTGAAATTCCAATACACTAATCCCATACTCTGGTAGCATAGTGGCTAAGGCATTTGACTGCTAACCAGAAGGCTGGCGGTTCAAACCCACCAGCCACTCCTCGGAAGGAAGATGGGGCAATCTACTTCCGTAGTGATACTGCCTCGGAAACCCAAGGAGGGGTCGCTATGAGTTGGGTCCGACTTGACGGCACATAACAACAACAACAATTCCATACCAAAGAGCTCTGGTGGTGCAGTGGTTAAAGTATTCAGCTGGTAACCAAAAGGTGAGCAGTTCAAACCCACCAGCTGCTCCAAGGAACAAAGATGAAGCAGTCTGCTTCTGTAAAGATTTACAGCTTTGAAAATTCTATGGCGCAGTTCTACCCTGTTCTAAAAGGGTCACTATGAGTTGGAATCAACTCAGTGGCTATTTTTTTTTTTTTTTTAAATCCCATACCACAACCTCCTAACCTCCCAATTATCTATGTGATAATCCTATCACATGTGATCTTTAAACTCAATAAATACCAGTCCTTTTATTACAAACACATCCCCAACAGCTTCTTCCCTGCTCTCCCCATAGAATTCATATTGCATCACTTCAACTTTTCTCAAGCAGACGACTCAGGGTCCTTGCCCCCTTGCCTTCCTACTGTCCTACATCACAGAAATCCCTCTCAATCTTTTGGGTATAAATAAGAGATTGGCTCATAAAATAAAGAATATCACCCGTGATTAGTAAATTCCTTTACAAAATCATTTCAGTGAGCCCAAATGGTCAAAATTACTCTAAAGCACATATGAGATGGTAAGGAGGGCATGGAACACTAGAGTACTGGAAATGTACAACCAGAAAGGAACGAATGAGAATGGTGACTCACTGTGAAAAACGTAACCAATATCACTGAACCATTTGTGTACAAATTGTTAAACAGGAAACTAATCTGCTGTGTAAACTTTCACCTTAAACAGGGTATTATTAAAAAAGAAAAAAGAGAAAGCAATCTCTATTGATTCAACCTAACCAACTGCCTTCTTGGCTACTGAAGGAAAGACTGTTCCTATTCCGAATAAAGCCCTCTAACCTTAGCTAGGCCCATTCTACTGCTGCTCCACACTTTTTTGGGTGTGTCACCACCTTTTTCTTATTCCTCACAGCAACCATTCTAAACTTGCAACATTCTTTTCCAGTCCACCAGAACATTCAAAGCAAATGACACTATTTCCTTAAAAAAAGAAAAAAATTAAACAACAACTCCTTTTTTTCTTCCTCAAACACCTTCCCCCCCCATGCTTTTCCCCCCTCAAATATCTATTTTTGCATGCACCTTCCCAGCTTCTTCCCTGTTGCTGGAAGATGTGCCTTCTCCCTATTTCAATTCTAATCCTCCAGATCCTAAACTCTGTCAGTAGTCTCAAGAATCTATCTCCATTCATTATTCTCTTTTTCATCCCTCTATTTTCAATTATAAACCTCTTCCTCTCTATTAGACCCTTCCTTCTCTAAGTTTCTTTCCTTCAAATTCCTCATAACAATCATCTCATTCTTATTCTTCTAACCCAAGGGTGTAATGGGTGTTAGGGTTTCAACTCTAACTACTCCTTTGAAACTGTTTGGGCAAAAGAAACCAATGACCTCCTAAATACAAGGTTCAGTGGTGTATTTTCAGAGCTCATTTCCTTTTTGTATCTTTATAATTGTTTGAACCTGGTTGTTTATAGTTTCTCTTCCTTTGGCTTCTCTTACACAAAGTCTCTCCTGGTTTCCTCAGTATCTTCTTTGTTGGATTCTCTTACTTTGTCCAGTTCTTAAATGTTTTTCCTCAAGATTGTAGTCTTGGTCTGCTGATTTAATTTATTCCACTGGTTTCAACTAGTATCTATAAACTGATGACACCATGGTCAACTGCCATTGCCAATTGTCAAACCCAGAATTCTTCTGAGCTCTACATCAGAATAGCAGATAGCTATTAGACTTTTGTATTTGGCTGTTTCATGGCATTTAAACAGTATGGTCTATATTAAACTCAATTATCTAACTCCCAAAAACTTACTTCTCTCTCCCGAAGGTTCTACCCGGTATCATCTTAATTTATCTTCTCTTTCACATCAATCTATGCCCTGAATTTGTTCATTTTACACTCTCTGATGTGTCCTCTCTTCTCTAATAGCATAATTAAGGTCTCATCAAGACCTACCTGGACTATTGCAGGCCTATTCATTTTCTTTCTGCCTCCAACCTCTATACTTTACAATATAGCCCACATATTACTATCAAAGTGAGCTTTATAAAATACCAGTTTAGAACCTTTCATCTGACTCCCACTGCCTAAGGAGAAAGTTCAAATACCTTATCACTTTAGCTCTACAATTTGACTTCTTTATAATTTTTCGACTTATCCCTTGCTATGCCCTCCTCAAATCCAATGCTCCATCAGTGACAAACTAATTATAGTTTCTCAAACATACTCTGCTGTTTCTTTCTGTGGAGACTTTGTTCATGCTGTTCCTCCTGGAATGCTTTTTCCTACTTTGCAAAATCTACTCATTTTTAAAGATTTGGCTTTTCTACGAAGTCTTCTGTGAACCATCAATCCCATTTTCCAGAAGAAATGACCACTCCATTCTCAGAATACTTTTCTGTGCCATATACAGTCTCTATCACTGCACCTATATACATTCATTGTACTTTCTCATTTACATGTAGCCCTCTCTCTTATAAAATACAATAAGCTCCCTAAGGGCCAGGAGCACGTGTTTATCATGTTTGAATCTCCTGTGCCTAGCACAATGGATGGAACCCTATAGATGCTCAATAAATATTTATTGAACAAACTGAAATCTTAACATTCCTAACATGTAAATATAATTATCCCATTTCACAGATTAAGACGCACAAGAATTTAAGGAACCAGTCCAGCTTTTGTTTTATTTCTACCATAGGACTCCACAGAACTTTAATGTGCTAATATACATTATACTGTCCCCAAGGCATTTTCATTTTACATTATACCATTCTGCCTGTTAAAAATGACACTCTCATGAGAAACAATTAAGATTAGAATTTAAACAATGAGGTAAAGAGTATTTAGCGACTGTCCTCTTTTTATATATCCAATATTGTATCAAATATCATGGTAGATGCAAAAACAAAGACATGATCTTCTGTCCTCAAAAAATAATCTAAACTAGAGATTAAATGATCATGCATGGAATTAGTTATACGTAATCAGAAAAGACAAGACAGTGGATAAGCAATGAAAAAATTATGTAGGTAGGGAAAGAATCCAGTTTATATTATATAATGAAACCTTCAATTCATTTGGATCACTTAATTGCAGATCCTTAGGGGTTGGGGTGGGGAGAATCAAGCAAATGATGATAAAAATAAACTGTGTTACAAAAAAACTATCTAATTTCAGCTTATTTAAAAATATTAATCCATTTTCTGATCTAGAATACTGGAATGTTTGTAGATTCTTCCCTGCACATACCTAGCCCAAAGTTTATCATCTTTTAGGTAATTCATTACAATAAAATTAAACATTCAGGAACTCTGGTGGCACAGTGGTTAAAGCACCAAAAGGTGGGCAGTTAGAATCCACCATCTACTACTTAGGAGAAAGATGAGGCAATCTGCTTCTGTAAAGATTTACAGCCGTGGAAACCCTATGGGGCAGTTCTTCTCAGTCCTGCAGAGTCACTATGAGTTGAGATTAACTCAATGGTAGTGGGTTTGTTTTGTTATTTTTTGGGTAGCTTTATTTCAGTCGTTAAAAAGAAATGCCTTTTAGAAGCTATTTTAATTAAGGCTGAATACATACAAAAGAATAGAAAGCAAACATAATACATGGAAAAAATATTCCAGTAAAATAAAAATGATCTTTTAAAAAAGTATGAAATTTTAAAAAATCAAATATGGTTAATGGTTTATACTTACCATTTTTATTTGCTGGTGAAAAAAAGTTAAATACAGGAGAAAATATGGTCCCCAACAGTGTAGTCCGTGGAGGACTGCCAGAGGAAGGATTATCTTCTAATTTTCCATTTTGTTTTACATGTTGATTTGTCATTTCATAACCACCAGCTTCTAAGAAAGAACCGGATAAAAAGAGTTATGATCTAGAAAACACTGACTTTCAGAAATGTGTTCCAAATCATTCATTTAAAAATAACTTTTTCCCCCTAAAAATCTTTATGTAAATTAATTAATGCTCAGGAGACCTTAAAGAAATCCTAAGATAAATCACTTGTAAAGCAAATGATCTTTATAACAAATTTCTTCATACTTTATAAATGCTAAAATTTACTGAGTACCCTGCCCCAAGAAGACGTGTATCTAGAATTACATAGACATAATGAATTTCTGTAAGGCTCTGAATCAACACAATATAATAGAAAATGAAAATTCTTTGTAATTTCATTTGTTGCAGAGCAAACAAGTTAACAGTATCTGAAGAACAAATGAAAGATTCTGTTTTTGTTTATTTACATTTTGGGTGCTTCCTACTTTGTAAACCTCCCTTCTCTCATGTATATCTAATGAATAACAATGAAATAAATAGGGGCAACACAGCTCTACTGAGGCAGACAGCAGTGTCACAGGTCACTTACAGATATTGAAGTAGTGGTATCAGAGTAGTTAAGAAATTTTAAGTTTCAAGTAAATAAATTTTTTTTTGTAGATTTTCAGAAAATATAAAATTTAAAAAATGTTTTGCTTAATCATTCTTTGACCCTCCAAAATTTTATTTGGTTTCTATCATATTTCTTTTCTTCTCTGTTCTTTTTTAACTTCTTTTTCTCAATTCCCTCAGCTCAATTTTCTTTTTCTATAGTCACTTCTAACAAAAAGATACATCACTGCATTTGCAGTGGGGATAGGTGTTTGTGGGGGAATTATTAATGCTGTTGTTTAAGACATTACTGGTTAAAAGGCAGCACTCCATGCTCTTATGTTTTGTTCTTTATAGTTTTCTCTGCTTATCCGTCTTATGTTTTTCCCCTTCTTTTTGACTTTGAAGAGTTTCCCAGCTGTACAGTAATGACTCCGAATGGGGTTTATCAACAACAGCACTACTGATATTTGGGCAGGAGAATTCTTTGTTATGAGGGGAGGGGTATCCTGTGTACTATAATCCCTGGCCTCTACCTGCTAGATGCCAGTAGCAAACCCCTCCCATCAGGTGCAACTACCAAAAACATCTCCAACCAAACCAAACCAAACTCACTGCGATCGAGTTGGATCCGACTCATAGCAACCCCTCTTTGGGTTTCCAAGGCGGTAGGTATCACTACAGAAATAGACTGCCCAACCTTCCTTCTGAGGAGTGGCTGGTGGGCTTGAACCACCAGCCTTCCGGTTAGCACTCAAACACCTTAGGGACTCCATCACCAGAGCTTCCCAAACATTTCCAGACATTGACTAATGTCCCATGGGGTATAAAATCACCCCCAAGTGAAACTACTGACCTCTGAGTTCTTAAATTCCATGATCCAAAAACAAACTCTTAGTACATATTTCAATTAAGTCATAATCATTGTTTTAAGAAATGAATGTAGATTAAAAAAAAAAGTTGCTTCATATAAATTTCATGCTAAATAGACTATAGCTAGTTGTTCTACCCTTATATAAATTCATCAAAGTAGATTTAAAAAAAAAGAAAAAACAGTATCTAAATATTAACAAACCTCCATTTACTTGACTTTTCCGTCTTACTCGAGATATCTGTTTGTTAGGTTTTTCTCCTGTTCTTGGTGTTGATGTGATCAAATTATTATCTATATCACGTTCAATTCTACTCCGTTTCGAGGGATTTTCTCTCTCTTCCTTAAGATATAAGAGGTAAAAACATTCACTGAGCAGTCATTCTGCCTGAGAGGTTACATTTAAAAAATGATAAAATATGGTGTATTTCACCTGTTATGCTATCAGAGCTCCTTTTCCATATACAGGAGAAATAAATGCAATAAATATCCAAGAGTATTAGAAAACACAGGAAAATTTGACAGTGTTTTGAGAGTACTTACTAATGCACTTTACAATACACAAATATAAGTACAGCATCCCCACAATTCATATATTTTCCCCAGAATCCATTAAATTTCCATGCTACCGAGTCATACAATATTCTATGAATTTTAAGCAATTTCCTTTATTCTTAGAATTGCCCTAAAGAACAGAGATCTCTTCCTTGTGCATTCAGGGCAGAAGGGAGAACCCCACTGGAAATTGCTGGCATACTATGTATTATCAAACTGACACAAAAAGAATAGGGCCTGTCACTGCCACGCCCCACTGCCAACCTCAATACTTTAAATGCCTAAATTAACATCAAGAAATCTACCCCTTAGCAAAGCTTTCTATTTACTGTCTTCTATGGGGCAAGTCCACATGACCAATATATACTATTCTTGCAGTATTGCTGACTAAAATAGTATTCTTCAAGCAATAGCCTGAATTATTTTTCTCCATTTGTAAATCTATTTTTCTCTTGTTGGAAAGATTTTTCTAACATGAATGATTTTCTTATTTACTGTGTAATTCCTTGATATTTTAATTTATATAAAAAAAACCAAAACAAATTCTTATTCAACAGAAGCAATTTCTCTGCATTCTATGCTTTTATTCAACAGCATTTGAAGTACCTCCCGTGTACCTCTCTCTGTCTTCCTCTTCCTCAGTGCCTATTACTAGGCATTTTGTGAAGGTTTAATATTGCTATATTGTCTCTGAAACAATCCTTGGTATTATAAATGGCCAAAATGACCCTTTCCTATTTGGACCAAAACAAAAAGATACATATTTCAAATGCCACTCAATATAGAATTTTATTTTTACTCAGTAGTTTTTCTAATTGTAGGTAATTCCAACAAAACAATATGTCATTCTATCACAAAATAATGCTTTAGTGATTTAACTTTTTAATGCTTGCCATCCCTTGCATTTTTCAATGATGAACAGGAAGCCTGTAATTTCTTTTAAAAAATACATGTGTAAAAAAGCTTTTGCCTTTACACAGCAACCATACACAATTTTTCACTTTCCCGATGAAATACAAAATTCAACTCCCATTATTCAGAATCCCCTTAATTAGCTTAGGAAAAGGTCACATATAAACCAACAAATTATGTTATACTGATATTCCCCTATTCATCAATGGTGTATATATAATCTTTCTGATGTTATGGAAGCACCACATGTTGCACCAGAGCAGACTATATGGAAGTCAGTTAGTAAGACATTCAAAGCCATTAGTGAGAAGCAAATCAAAACAATGAGATACCATCTTGCCCCAGCACTAGTAGCAAAGTTCAACAAGGAAAATAACAAAATGCTGACAAGCATGTGGAGAGATTAGGACTCTCTCATACACTGCTGGTGGGACTGTAAAACGATATAACCACCGTGGAAAACAGCAGGTGATTCCTTAAAAAGATGAAATTAGAAATACCATTTGATCCAGCAATCCTATTACTAGGTATATATTCTAAAGAAGTGTGAGCCAGGACAAGAACAGATATATGCACAGCCATGTTCATCTCAGCACTAATTACAATAGCAAAAAGATGGAAACAACCTAGGTGCCCATCAACAGAAGAATGGATAACCAAACTATGGTACATACACACAATGGAACACTATGTAACAGTAAAGAATAATGTAGAATCTACAAAACATTGCATAATGTGGGTGAATGTGGAGGACATTATGCTGAGTGAAATAAGTCAATCACTGAAGGACTAATATAGTATAAGTTCATTACTATAAAAAGTCAAGGAAAGTTTTATGTATGGAAGGAAACTTTTTGTGTTGGTTACCAGGGGTAGGAAGGGAAGGGAGAGAACAGTGCTAGATAGGTAGAGACAAGTACTGATTTGGGTGGAGGGAAGGGCAATGTACCAAATGCAAGTGATCAGTACAGTGGCACTGAGGAAGAGAAAGACACAGAGAGGTACAAGGGAGGTACAGACAACAAAGATGAACTCTTCTGCATGTATAGTACTGTGTTGTCAGTGATGGCAAGTATTGATGTATGGGTGGATAGATGGGTGGACAGGCTGAATGATCAAGTATGTCTAGGTAGGGGGTAGTGTACCTAGGACCAAGAATAGGGTTAGCAGACAGTGCTTCTACATGTGTACAGTACAGCTGACATGGGGCAAGGTTGTGGTGGCTTCATGGCCACAGCCAGCAACCTAGAGGGAGCCAAGTAGTTGGACCTATGGTCTCAGGACCACTGTCACAGGGGACATTAAGCTCAACTGGCATAACATACTACACAAAAACATTGTTCTACATCTTACTTTGGTGAGTAGTGACTGGGATGTTAAAAGCTTATAGGTAGCCATCTAGATGCAACAATAGGTCTCTCCTTATCCAGAGCAAAGAATGAAGAAAACCAAAGACACACAGAAAGAATTAGTCCAAGGGACTGGTAGACCATGTGATCCTAAGCTTATATGACCCTGAGACCAGAAGAACTAGATAGTGCCTGGCTACCACTGTCAACCACTCAGAGAGGGATCGGTGTACGAGATCTTGGATAGAGTGAAAGAACTGTGGAACAAAACTCAAAATCAGACCAGGTTTGCTGGTCTGATAGAGCCTGGTGAAACCCCTGAGACTATGGACCCTAGCTACCCTTCAGGTCTGGAATTGAACTCACTCCTGTGGCTTCCAGCCTAACAACAGACAGGCATATGGGGTATACATTTACATCAGGTAGGTATGCTACTTGGAGTGATCAATTGTGGGAGAATAGAAGGGCACTGTTTGCACAGGGAGACACCCTAAGGGGGTGGGAGTGCATGGGAGGGAAGGACACAGGGAAGAGGTAATTATGGTGAGTAAATATGAAGAGAGCTGTTACACTGAGGGTAATTGCAGTCAATGTCATGAGACAAAATGTGTGTGAACTGCTGTATGGAAAATGAATTTTCTCTGTAAACTTTTACCCAAATCACAATAAAAACTTAAAAAATAAATTAAAAGATTAATTACTAATGTTTCACTAAAAAAAATAAGACATTCAAGTACTTTAGCCTATGTCTGTAAAAAAGATAAGAAAGGTATTAGGTTAAAATTCTGCATAATGCATTCAAGTTCTAGATGATGCTCTAATTCTGAAAGACAATTCTTTAACTAACCCTTGTACTGGGCATATTTTTAGACATGGTATGATGTTTAGGAGAAGAAACGAGGATTCGAAAATTAGTGTTCAGGTTGTTTTACTTAATAGTCCTACAGAGTCATCTCTGAAATTTGTGTTTTTCAAACTAATCTCTAAAATATGCTTTTAAGGAGGAAATTCCAAGATCATGGTAGACATGGCATAGTTCTTAAATCTCTCAAATACCAAAGAAAATCTATAGATAGAGCACTAAAAAACCAAAAACCAAACATGTTGCTGTCAAGTTCTGACTCATAGTGACCCCATGTGTTACACAGAACTGCTTCAGTTTTCTTCTATAACACTGTTGAAACTGCCAACCTTTAGGGTTAATAGTTGAGTGCAAATAGTATGTACTACCCAGGCACCTGACAGAGCACAAAAGGGCCAACAAAAACCCAGAGGCAGCATTTACAACAAAATTAGGAGACAAGGCAATTTCCACAAACCTTAAAATGCAAGTGGATGAGAGCAAACTACTAAGAGCCACAACACTTGATTGCCATAACTACCAGTGTAGAAGAAAATAGAAGGAAGCAGTGATGTGTGTGTGACAGGCCTGAAAATGAGAGAACCCAAAAGCAGTTATCAGGTATTAATGAGAAAGCATTGCAGGCCAATTGGAGAACAGCAGATGAAACATGTGCTGCCCAAGAGAATAGCAAAAGTGTCCATGGTGGGAACTAAAATGACCACAGCAGTCTGGCTCTTATGAACTCTTGAAATTGACCAACCACGGCTCCCATCTAGAACAGGGTCCCACACTGAGCAGAAACTAACAGGAGCGAAATAAAAACTGAGTTGCACAGGCACCGTAGAGAAGAAGGAAAGAAAAGTTCCTGGAGTAGGGGTGAAGAGACAGGAAAACTCAAATAGTAAATCACTGTATTTTTGAACACTAAACAAACACAAAACAAATTAGAAAAGCTGTCCCAAACCACCCATCTTTCTAAAAATTCAGGAACGCTAATTTCACATATAAATGAAGTTTCCCTACACAAAATGCAGAGATCAAAACCACACAAAATTGTTACAATAAAAAATGTTAAGTTGCAAAAATAACACCTCTATAGGTAAAGAAAGCGTATTAGAAAGCTCTCATATAGAACAGATCAAAACTATATCCTATTTCAAAATAAACATTAAGAAAATTGCATGATACATATCAAGAGTTAGAAAAACTCAGAAACAAGTGACACTACTACTGAAATTAGAAATAAAAGAAAAAAAAAATCATTTTAGAAATAAAACTAACTTAGAAGGAACACAAGATTGAATAAATACAGCAGATTATACCTTAAGAAAGGAGCTCTGGTGATAGAATGGTTAAGCACTCAGCTGTTAACCTAAAGGCTGGCAGTTCAAACTCATCCAGGAGCTCCATGAGAGAAAGACGTGGCTATCTGCTTCTGTAAAGATTACAGCCAAGAAAACATCATGGGGCAGTTCGAGTCTGTCACATGGGGTTGCTATGAGTTGGAACTGACTTGTGGCACCCAACAACAAACCTTAAGAGAAACAGAAGGTAAAAGTGGAGAAAAACTCAAAAGAAATAAGGAGATAAAAAGAATTCAAGAAAAAGTGACAACTACTGAAGAAAGAAAACAAAGAAGACACAGATAGAAAATAGTACTCCCTAAAGAAAGAAACCAAACCATGGCAAATGAACAAATACTACAAAACGTCTCTCAAATAAAAAGATTTGAAATTACAGATGTTAAAAAGCACAATTTTACCTAAAAATACTGACTCAAAGCAATCATTACCAAGACATAATCTGTAAAATTATTAGAATTTAAGGGGAAAAAAATTCTTTGGAGAATGAAGTAAAAACAAGTCACTTACTAAAAAAAGGATATTTAGATTATCAATAGGTTTTATGCCAGAAAAAAGAGAAAAAGAAAAAAATTAACATACTTAAGATAAACAAGGAAAGAAAATGTGAGTCAAAGATTAAGTACAAGAGGAACTATTATCAACATGCAAGAATTCAGTCTGCTGTTCCTATCATTTTCTCTGTAGAATCTACTAGAAAATGAACTCCATACAACAGAAATGCCTACAGACCATGATATGAGGACTGAGATCAAGTGTTAAATGTATCAAATATATAGAACTAAGACAAACAAGGGTTAAAAGAGAGTATAATATTTAATTACTACAAGCTCAAAAATTGTTGATAAAAAACACTAAAAACTGGTGAGAGAAGAATATGTATTTTTTTTAAATGAAAAAACTGTTGATTATACAGACATTCTGAAACAGAAAAGTTGATAGATTTCATTTCTAGCAGATACAAGAAATACTAAAAGTTCTTATGCTTAAGATGAATAGAATTATAAATGTGGAGTAAGAAAAGATCACAACTAAGGTAAATATGTGAGTATATTTAAAAGACCTTTATTATAAAGTATCTTACACACATATGTAACAATTTCCTTAAAACAGTAATCAGACCAGTTACTGGAGGTAAAAGTTAGCAGTGGAATTTAGCAATGATATATCCAATTCCCAGGGAACTGGCTCACCGGATACATAAGAAAATGCAAAGAAACAAGAAGAAAGCTAAATATACAATCCCTTGGTTACTGTTATCTTTAACAGCTAAAATGAAAGTAAAGGAGAGTATCCTGGTCCAAGCTTGGATCCCTGTCAGTAGGAGCTCTACCTAACAGCCATAGGGCTACTTCCAAAGATAAAAATTATGCTAAAACAACAGATAAAGGAAGGTTAGAGTGATTCACAAGAGGATGGGTAAAAAAACAAAAGGGAAAGAAAAAGGGGAGTATCAAGGGATCCCTCCCAGCAAGGTGGTAATCCTTAAATGGTTATTAAAAAACGAGGGGAATAAAATGGAGAATACTGGTAGAGTAAAAACAAAGGTTTTAATTGGGCACTCTCAAAGGTTGGCTATACTGATGGAAACCCCTGCTGGTCCCCCAGCATCGAAGGGCCCCCAAACAATCTGCTTTTCCCTAGTTTGACGGAATTAAAAACTGCAAAGCAAAAATTACGAGAGAAATCTGATCTCCAGTTGCCTGGGGGCAATGGTCACAGAATCTAATCAAGAAAGGACTAAGGAGAGGGTGTGGGCCCACTGGCCCAACCCCTGGCTGAGATCCAAAACAATACACACATGAATGGGTCAAATAGGGAGTGGAAAAATGTTTTGGGGACCCCGTTGTGCTGTGGTTCCAAACCTGCTGGTGAAGTCCTAATGAGGGCTACAAGTAAACTGGTACATAGTACAATGGCTGACAAGATTAAGGTAGAAGTTTGGGCAAAAACTGGTATGCTTGAGCAGGCTTTACGTGAAGCTGTGTCTCTTTCACCTGAATGTATTACGGGGTGGATATTTTGTCTGACTGGGGAATGTTTCCCCTACCTATTATAAAACACAAGGCATGTAAATTCATTCTTCCACCAGTATTGATCACACATGCTAAATGGGAACCAATAAGACTGCCCAAGCCCAACAGTTGAATCTGTCAATTCCAACTCATTAGGTCAGAGTAGAACTGTGCTCCATAATCTAAGACCAAACAGGTCACTAATTAGAAACATCACAGAATAGAAGGTGAAGTACTGGTGCAGATAAGTATCTGTAGAATGATCCTGTGTAGAATGCAAACCGGGCCTTATGACAAGTAAGCATATGAAAAGATACTCAATATCATATGCCATTAGCGAATTACAAACTAAAACTAGAGTAAGATACCACTACACTATCAAAAACAAAAAACAAAAACAAAACTTGTTGCCGTGGAGTCAATTCTGACTCATACTGACCTTATAGGACAAAGTGGAACTAGCCCATAGAGTATTCAAGGCTGCAACCTTTGCAGAAGCAGACTCCCACATCTTTCTCTCTCAGAGTAACTGGTGGGTGTGACCTGCCAACCTTTTGGTTAACAGCCAAGTATTTAACTATTACACCACGAGGGCTCTTTACACACCTATTAGAAAGGCTAAAATCCAAAACACTAATGACACCAAAGCTGGTGAGAATGTGAAGCAATAAGAACTCTCATTCATCACTGATGGAAATGCAAAATGGTAAAGTTACTTTGTAAGACAACTTGGTAGTTTCTTATAAAGCTAAACACAGGCTTACTATACAATCTAGCAACTGCACTCAGAGGTATTTACCCAAATGAGTTGAAAATGAGAAGTCCCAACAAAAACCTGTAAAGAAATGTCTGTTGTTGTGTTGTTGTTGTGTGCCGTCGAGTCGGCCCCGACTCACAGCGACCCCTCCTTGGGTTTCCGAGGCAGTATCACTACAGAAGTAGGATTGCCCAACCTTCCTTCCGAGGAGTGGCTGGTGGGTTTGAACCGCCAGCCTTCTGCTTAGCAGTCAAGTGCTTTAGCCACTATGCTACCAGAGCTCCTAAAGAAATGTCTACAGCAGTTTTATTCGTAATATGAAGTAATAAAGATGTCCTTCAATAAGTGAATGGATAAATTGTGGTATATCCATATGGAATGTGATTCAGTGATAAAAAGAAATGAGCTATCAAGCCACAAAAAGGCATGAAGGAACCTTAAATGTGTATTGCTAAATGAAAAAGCTAGTCTGAAAAGACCATAGACTCTATGATCCCAACGATAGGATATTCTGGAAAAAGCAAAGTGAAAAGGAGTTCAAGGATGAGGGTGAAGGATGAATAGGTGAAGTATAGGGGATTTTTTTAAAGGATTTTTAGAAACTGTCCTGTATGATACTGTAATGGTAGATATACAATATTATATGCATTTGTCAAAACCTATAAAACTAAATACCACAAAACTCAAGTTGGTCAGAATATAAATCTAGAGTATCTGACTCCTAATTTAATATCCATTCTTCCCTTTCCACCATTCATTTGTCAGGTTTGTCGTACTATGGTGGCTTGTGTGTTGCTGTGAGGCTGGAGGCTATGCCACCAGTATTTCAAATACCAGCAGGGTCACCCATGGTGGATAGGTTTAAGTGCAGCTTTCAGACTTGGAAGAAGGGGCCATCCATTTCTCAAAGAATCGGCCAGTGAAAACCTTATGAATAGCACTGGAAAACTTTATTCTTCCCATTAACAACATTGTTTTCTTTTTAATGAAGTAACACATTTTCATTGTATAAGCTTTAGAATTCAGATCAACTATCTTCTGAATTAGATATTAACCAGAAAAAAGCTTTAAATAAATAAAAGAAAATGAAGGAGATGAACTCAATGGTCTCCAAGCGTCAGAAACAAAGAAGAGTGCAAAACAAGCAAACAAACAAACAAGGGCATTTGGAAGCAATCAGCCCTAGGAAATAATGGCCCTCGAGACCAGAAGAACTAGATGGTGCCTGGCTACCAATGCCAACCACTCAGGAGAGGATCAAATCTGGAGATCCTGGATAGAGTGGGAAGAAAAACATGGAACAAAATCCAAAAATTCAGTAATGACCAGAATTACTTGGTTGGATGGAGTCTGGTGAGACCCCCAATACTATAGCTTTGGGATATATTCTGGACGTGGAATAAAACTCACTCCCAGGGGCTGGCTCTCAGCCCAATAGTTAACAACATGAACATGTAGACCACTCAACCCAGGGTGATGCACCCACATAGAAATATATCCTATTTATACACCACTATGGAAATACATCCCTTAGGGCAACAGACCATGGGGCACCAGAGGGCAACATTCACACAGAGGAAATACAGGACAAACAGGAGTGCATAACTATGAGGGGCACTGGGGGAGAGTTACTGGGCAGGGAGGGGGGAAGACTGGGTTAGGGTTGGGCATGGTAAATGGGGACTGAAACTAAATGTGCACGTAACGTTGAATGTAAAACAAACTCTTAAATAAATGAAGTAAAAGGAACTCAACTAAAAAGAGGAAGAAAAATTTTATCCTGCTTCCCATAATACTACGCTGAAAAATAAAACACTAAGTGGGTAAGTTTAAATGGAATAAAGAAACGTTTTTGAATAGCCATTAAATATTTGGCAAGTAATACTTCTAAAAGTAAAATAACACTCTTCATGTGTTTGGAGAAAATAATCATTTCAATGATGTAAGTACAAGGTAAAACCATTACCTTAGGTGTGCTTCCTTTAATGAATTTTTTAATCGAAGACAACAAGCCGGTTTCATTCTTCGGTGGTTTTTCTCCTCCTGAAGGCAGGCTATCCTCAACCTCTGAGTATTTCCTCTTTGCTCTGGCAGCACGTTGCGTGTGGATTTGATTTGATTGTTGAGAAGCTTTCCGTGTTCTCAGTCTCATCTTTTATGGGTGCCACATGTAAAACTGTAAAAGAAAAATAACAAGGATTATTAAAATTAAACTTAGCACACTCATATTACAGGAGCCTGGGTGGTACAAGCAGTTTCCAATTGGCTAACCTAAAGGTTGGTTGTTTGAACCCATCCAGCAGCTCCAAAGACGAAAGGCCTGGCAAACTGCTCCCAGACAAGAAAATCCTTAGGAGCTAATTTGACAGCAGCCAACAACAAACACTACTCATATTTCAGAGAAGGTAAAAAAAGATACACGATCTGAAAAAATGTCTAGTTTATATAATGAAAATACCTTGTTTTTTAAAAAACAGGTCTCTAGGGGACTAAAATGAGAAATTAACATTTTATGTGGCAGGCATTGAGCTTTGTACTTTACACATATATTATCCAACTAACCTTCCTAACAGCCTCCAAAATGCTGTATTCTGTGATCTTAAAGCAGGGGAAGGAGAGTGCAAACGCTTTCTACAATACTATGCTGCCTCCATCCACGTTAACACTATTATTCATTTAATCATTCATTCATTCATTCATTCAACAAACATTTATTGAACACTTATCACATTCTAAGCAATGGGCTAGATAAACACTGAAAATGCAATATAGTAAATAAGATAGGGAAGATTTTTGCCATTCTGAATCTTACAATGTAGCAGGAGATACCCTCAGTCAAAGAATGACTTCCACGTGCCAGAGTCTAATATTCAAATTACACTGGAAGTGTAACAAGAGTGGTTGGATCATTCTGTGGGATTCCAACCTCATAATACATAATGATACTTTACAATTGAATTTACATCAGAAAGAAAGAGGCTATCTACTTAAACCCTCTCATTTTATAGATGAGAAAATTAACAGGTAGCAAAACTGTCCAAACATTTAGAAATCCTTAAGGACATACCCTGAATTAGAATCTGTGAAACAGAATAAAGACTACTAAACAAAGAAATAAAAGATGTGAATTCTAATCTTGTATCTGTCATAGCTAAGTTATGTTACTTAGTTATTTTTTTACCAGTATAAAGAAAAGATTTACCTTAACTTGAGGCTTAAAATAAATAAGGTATCAGAAAAGGCTATAAGGTGCAAAAGATAATAAAGATATTCATGACAATGAATGGATTCGCAGACAAGTCTAATGCCATTTAAGTATAATAAACACTAATAGGTGTAGAAACTCTTGGCAAAGCTTAGGACTTTGACTGCCAATTAGGAAGTCTCAGAAGTTGTGTTTTTACTAACTCAACGTAAGAGTCATAGGAAAAAAAAAAAAGTTAGAGACTATATGTATATAGGGCCCACTTCAACAAAAAAGAATCCATCAGAAGAGTTCCAAAACATCTTCCTAAATACCCACCTTTTTTCTATAATAAAATGGTACTCAGTTTTATGCTGCTATCCTTCCCAAAATAAATACTGTCTTTTCCCCATCAGTGCAATAAATTTCTTTCACATAGCCTTTCTAGCCATGGTCTTTTGACTTCTACAAAATGATTGGGTGGAACTATCCAAATTAGGTGCTTGCAGCCCACCAAAGGGACTAGACAGCCAGCTAATAATGCAAATAAAGTGCATGAAACTTCTGTGGGGATGTGAACATGCAAATAAGTTCTATGGAACCCTAACAAAGGGATTGGTCAGTTTTGCTATCCCACTAGGCTTAAAAGAAAGCCAATCCCAAAGCAGGGAGGGTACCTTACTACCACCAAGAAAGAAGAGCTATGAGAGGAATATATCCTTTGGACCTAGGGTCCCTGTGCTGAGACACTCCTAGACCCAGGAGACAGAGTATAACCACAGAGATGGCATAAGACAGCACGAAGTGGTGGGAGAGAAATGGCAGCAGCAGAACCAAGAGACTGGTGCAAGAAAGAACGGTGGGCTTCCAAGCCCATGGAGCTAGGCAGCTATAGTGGGTATGTTGACTCATAAAGCAAAAAGAGGTGAGCACCTTTGGCCTGGAGGCTTACCTGCAGAATGGGGTGCTTCCAGGCACTTACTGGCAGAGCTAAAGAGCTTTGTAACACTTGTCTGAGCAGGACAGAGGCAAGGCCAAAAGGGTGAAGGCAAGAGAGAGAGGCCTGCCTGTGAGCACAGCTAAGAAGCACCTGTCCTGATTGAAGAACTGTATCCTGAGTCTTCTTGATCTTGAATTGTAACCTGTTACCTCCCTAATAAACCCCATAATCATGAGCATTGTCTCACTGTGGCCACTGCAACAAATTATTAAACACAGCAGAGCAGCAGAGTGCCATGGGAGGGATAGCTGATGTCAGAATTGGTAGGTTGAAGAGAGAAGCTATGTCTGACCTCCACCTCACCAGAATTAGCTTTGGGATAATGCTGGTGATCCTCTTTCCTCTCCTTCCTAAAGTTAAAGGAGGTCAGACAATGCCACTCCACCATTTTTACTTCCCCTAATGAGTCAAGGTTCCCTTCTAAAGAGATTTATTGTTAAAAACATCTATTATTTATTTAGTAACACTATATATACTAAATAAATACTGGATTAATTCCTTTACTCTCTAAAAAAGGAAAATTCCCATATAGCAAATGTATGTAGAATTTTTAAAAAGAAAGTTATTTAAAATAAATTTCTATAATTAGAAAATTTTTTTGAAAATACCTGAGTGTGAACCTATCTTAAACACAGAATCATGAAACAGAAACTATAAAATTTTATGAATAAAGGAAGATGGGGCAATCTACTTCCGTAGTGATACTGCCTCAGAAACCCAGGAAGGGGTCGCTATGAGTTGGGGCCGACTCGATGGCACATAACAACAACAACAACAACAACAATATAAAGTAGGTCACAAAAAACTAAAAACATATAAAGTAGTCCAGTCTTATAAGGTTTACCTCACTAAAATTTAAATATTTACTGGGCACTTACCATCAGAAAATAAAAGGATGAAAAGGATAATCTCTGGCCCTAAGAAGCAAAATGTCTAGCACTTAAGTATATATGCTTGCACTGTAAAATATAGATCTGGTATACTAATTGGAGAAACAGAAGAGACTTCTGAAAAAACTTTGGTCCTTTTAACTAAAAAATAATCATCAACAGTTACTCACCAAAAAGACAAATGAGCATTCGTAAAAAGGAGCTGAAATGTAGATGGGTTTTGCCCACTGCAATAGAGAGCTGTAAAAGGTGTACATAATAGGTCCCAAGGAGCTCTGGTAGCACAGTGGCTAAAGCACTTGACTGCTAACCAGAAGGTTGGCGGTTCAAACCCACCAGCCACTCCTCGGAAGGAAGGTTGGGCAATCCTACTTCCGTAGTGATACTGCCTTGGAAACCCAAGGAGGGGTCGCTATGAGTCGGGGCTGACTCGACGGCACACAACAACAACAACAACAACAATAGGTCCCAAGGGGCTGGAGTAGTCAAGTCTCTATGAACTTTCAAAATGGACATTCAGCCAACAGATGAAGAAAATAATCTTTTTCAATCACATGTGGAATGCTTATGAAGACAGACCATACCTGAGCCATAAAACAAGTCTCAATAAATCTCAAGACTGAAATGTTAGATGTTCTCCGGCTACAAAGAATTCAATTATAAAAGAGCAGCAACAACAAAAACTTGGAAAAGTAGCAAGTTATTTGGAACCTTTAAAATATAAGGGTTAGCAGCACTAGAACAGTACCTGCAACTGAAGACTCCTTCTGGGGATATAGCAGTGTGTCAGCATGGTGCAACAGTTTGTGAACAGCAAAATCAACCCTGCGAATGTGGCTGTGTTCACCAAGACCACCTGCCCCTAATGCAGAAAGACGCAAAATATCCCTGACCTTTCAAACAAGGACTCTGGGAATTTGTCGATATAGTAGCCACTAGGGACACAAACACGATTCAAGATAATCTCCAACTCACAGGAACCAGAACAGTACCTCAGGTTTTTATGAATGACTGTATATAGGTGGATGCTCTGATACAATAACTATGCAAGAGAACGGGGAGCTGCTGAAGTGGCTAGCAGATATGGGAGTTCTACCATAATGAGAGTGGACACCAGGTTGATGTCCCCTTGGGAACTGGTTGGCTTGGCTATTCTTTCCCAGCTACAGTAACTATTTACCTAAAATTCTAAAATATATTAATCCAAAAGAAGGGGGGAGACAATGTTGGGCAAAAACTACTTTATTCTTTTGGATCAGTATTTAAAACCCACGGAGGGGTCGCTATGACTCAGACCCACCAGACTTGACATCAGTGAGTGAGTTCTATGTTAGGATTCATCACTAACCGAAAGGTATGCTTTTTCTATTAACTGTTCTCCATGTGCCAGCACTTACTTCAAGCCAGGGACACGTTTATCCCTGGCCACCCCAGGATGAGTCCATATTTGGTCTTCTGTGAGTGCCCATCAGCTGAAATTATTTCTCTAATCTTGCCCTTATGACATCTGTATTATGAAATCAATAGGCATTTTGAATGTGTCTTTTCAAACTACGTGCATCTTCCCCCTTCCCATTACCACCCCATGCCACATTAAGAATTATGCTCTGAACTATGTTCTCAACACTGACAACTCACAGATCTCCTAGGAAATGTTCAACAATTCTGTGCAGGATCTGAAGGCTCAATCTGAGAAACCCTGCATGGAAAGTTAAGAACAATTAGTGTTCCACTTGTTGCCAAAGGGATCAGAGACACAAATGTAGATACTGTGATCATGTGGCAATAATTTCACCTAAGATCATCACCCAGGTAATCCTGAACAAGTGTGTATTAATTTTATTTTGGTTATCAGCAAAACTAAAAATTATAGAAGACTTGCAGCTCATGCCCCTTAAAAAAATTGGCAGAAGGAGCCAAATTTGAGAAATCCATTTTAAATGATTCTCAATTTTTTTCCCTTGCTCTTTTTATTTTTTTGGACACTCTTCAAAAACTTAAATCCTTACAGTGAAATTTAATTTTCTATTCTAGAACCAAAAGGTTACTTTAATTTCCTTTTGTGATCTCTAATACAAATAGTAGGAGCTCTGGTAGCATAG